GCGACGATTGAGCGACATTGAATCAGCATCCATTTGACGTTGTGTCTACAGCCTTTACTGTTACTGTTTATTGCAGACGACGCTTTAAAGGAATATGGATGGTAACCCTATATAATAAGTTTTGAAATTGTACAGTTTTTAAATTTATTTAAAAAATTGTTATATTGTAATAGATTAATATAATAATTGTTTATTTCAGTGAAGATAACACTGTTTGACACAAAATGACTTTTTTCTAATACCGGAAAAAGACTAGTCATTTTTTATAATTTTTGGATGCTGAATACGAATGCGTTTTTCAAATTTTTCATCATATTTTGTAATTCAGTTTGCAAAAAAAAGTGATTTTTATGTATTTTGGTATATTATAACTGCAATGTATGACATTTTGAAGTTTTTTTGCAATGTTAAAATTAAGTATGTTAGGACTTTCAATTCTCAAAAGGATTTTTTAATGTCGACTACTGTTAATAACATAGTCATAGTTTAATATGGGGTTTTCTCTATACGGAAAAGCTGTGAATTAAGTATTGATATGATTTCAGAAATAGTTTTCAATTATATTCATTTAAATTTAAGCGTTTCTTAGACCGTTGTATACAAATCCAATGTCAAATTGACAAATTTAAAATGATAAATTCAATGTGGCTAATGTTAAAATTTGAAAAACGTCTAAATTGCAAAATGTATAGTTGTCTCATGATTTTGAGTCCAAAGAAATTATGTTTAACTAAACATAATTGGAAAATATATTTGATAAATCGTCAATGATATATAATTCATTTGTTTGTAACAAACCTTATATTTAACCATGAATATCTTATTAACCATAGTTGACATTAACAAATCTTTTTGAGGATTGAAAATCCTAACAACAAGTTTCATTTTAATTGTAATAAATTTTCTAGTATGTCACATTCTGATATATTATAATTATTATCATAATTATAATATAATAAAATATGTTAAAATAATCTTTTTGCAACTTTAAATATACCAAAATTGTAACGCGTTAGACAATTTGGAGATCGAATTCGTATTCAGTATCTAAAAAACTATACAAAATGATTAATTTCATTTTTGTATTTTTTTTGTTAAACAATATAATAAATATAAACATTTTTATTGCAGTTTGCATTACCTTATATCCATAGCAAAGCAGAGGACAAAGCTAATCAATCAGAAACAATTTCTGCTTACTGGTTAATAGAAGATATGTATACTTTCGAAAATATTGGTGTATCACACACAGTAGGCAATGTCAAGTACCTAGCTTGTGCCGATTGTGAGAGAGGTCCAGTGGGATGGCATGATTTGTCCACTAAAAAATCATACATTGCATCATGTAGAGTAAAATATGAATGAACAGAGATAAGAGCTTATTAATAAAATAGTTTTATAATTTTCTATACATAAATACATATGTGTGTCCATATACACATATACACACATACATAAAGCACAAGGGTATAGAAAGATACGCAAATATAAAATAATATTTATGAAACTATATGTTTTATGTATCTGTATAAAAAGATTCTTTCATTTAGGTTTTCAAATAAATTTGTTTTTTTTTTTAATTAAATGAGTAAATAATGAAACAATTATTTAGTCATCTAATCATATGTATCCGTACGTGTGTATTTTAAAATGTATTATATGCGTCTTTATATTAAAATAAGTAAAAAATGTAATTAACGTTACTGGTATTATCTTATAAAATAAAATTCTGTTTATTTTTTATACAACCTCAGAAATCATGTCAATATACAAGATTAATAATTTAATAAAAAATAAGATACAACTTGTTTTATTTGATAATATAATATTGAATTACTACATGTTAAAACAGTTAATTAATTAGATAATTGATCTTCAATCGAATGTAACGATACAATATTTAATAAATTCTATTTACAATTAAAAATTTGTTTACTTAAAAATGCATTTATGTGCCTGGTTATGTTGTTATTAATGAAAGAAAAGAATACGCTAAGAATACATGCTCATAAAAAGAATTATTTTATCAAATTATAAAATCCAAATACTTTTATTGTAACAAATTGAAAAGTGAAACTCAAGTGGTACTATTTTTATTATTTACTTAACTTTAATGGTATGTATCATTTGTATAAAAGATTTGATATCTACAACTGGCGCCAAATTAAATTCTATACTAAATTAAATAAAACATATAATCCAAATGATGTTATTTTTAATTTTTATACAATATAATGAAACTTAAGTATATAGTTTTTTGTATTTCTATTGAAGGACCTTCCTACTCCAATCCAAGTGTCTTTAAAAGCTATTAAACGTAAAAGTCATAATTGTAAGACCATAAAAAGCGATAAATTGATTAACTATGAGACAAACGGTAAGTCACTGCTCTTGTGTGTCTTCCGATTGGTCGGTCATAAGGATAAGGCGTTAATCGCAATCTTTCGACGGGACGAAAATTTACGTCTATGATGGTGCGGTCATAATAAAAGGAATAAGGAATTAGCGATAAGGAACAACGATTCCAACCTATCAGAAACCATATATTCCGATATATGATAGGTTGAAATCTTTATTCCCTAATTTCTTATTCCTTCTATTGTGTCTGCACCTTGATTGTGGCTTTGAGGCACACATCTTCCGCACACATCTTCTGTAACAGTAATCAAGACGTAAAAATCAGCCAATTAAAATTAAGAGTTTAAAAGAGTTTTCGACTGTGATTGGCTGATTCTTACAGTACTTATAGTTTCTGTTACGGAAAGTGTGTGCAAGGATTCTTAGGACTGCCGCAGACGAAATTTCAGTAACAGTAACTTTAAGACATGAACTTAAGCCGATGAGCCAATTAGGATACTGTTTTAGATCTACGTACTCTAACGGAAATAGAAATAGCAATAAACTTATCCATAAAGCAAATTTCAATCTTACGGGTAAGTTTACTGCTATTTCTATTTCCGTCAGATTATGTAGATCTAAAGCAGTATCTTGATTGGTTCATCGGCTTAAATTTATACCTTACGCATACTGTAATTTTGTCTGCGGTAATTCTTAATCGTTTTTAAAAGAATTACAAGTCATTCAAAGACATTTTCAATCAAAGTAATAGTAGTTATTTAATTTTCCTTCACAATATCATTGATATCGCGTTCAGCAGATTTAACTATGAAGTAAAAGGGTGGGCCATCTATTGGTACGTTTTTGAATTTCGTCGTATGGCAACACCAAACGAGCTACAGACCCGAAATTTTGACAGTTTATTAGTCATACCGTCCGCGGCACGAAACAACATGTTTTCTCTTGAAGAGCGTTTTGAAATTTTAAAAACTTATTTTCAAAGTCAGTGCTGTGTCGCCGAAACTGTACGAATTTTGAAAAGAAATATGGGTCGTGATAGAGCACCCACCGAAGGAGCTATACGCAAATTGGTATATAGGAAAGTTCGTGAGAAAGGGATGTTAGTGGATGACAGTTTTTCCTGTGGGGTGCCGTTAAAGACCGATGTTATGCGGATAATCCAGAGACAATTCCAGCTTTGAAAAACAATATTACGACTGTTTTGAGTGAAATTGGCGCCGAGGTAGTCCAAAATGTCATTAATAATTGGGGTGACCGAATGGCATACTGTAAGGCCAGTAGAGGGAGCCACATGAACGAAATCGTTTTTCATTCTTGACGCGGATACTTTTAGCTTCACAACAAAAAAAAAATTAATAAAAAATATCAATGTATGCTCATTTGATCGCATTTTTAAAAGCGTACCAATAGATGGCCCACCCTGTATAAAGTCACTGGATTTATAAAGTACCACAACTAGAGTCACTCTAGTGAGAGTCGAGATACAAAACCGGAAGAATCGCTTTGTTTCAGTCTTATCGGAAAAGGCTAACAATTCTTATTCTTCTTTAATAAGTGATATGTGTCCTCAGAAAAATAAGAAAGGGGTTAATACAGCCAAAATTAGACTAGTGAAAATTATTTTAAGATAATAATTAACTCAGACCGAAGCGAAAAAACGTTCGCTCCGGTGTTACCATCTTGACAAACGAAGTTTCTACTTTCTAGTTCTAGTTTCTACTTTCCACAGTGCATATTTAAAATATTTTGTAACTTATATACTAAAAATAAGAATTTTAACAAAATATGATTTTTTTCGAAACTATATATATATTGTTTACTTACTTTATAGCTTATAACTTTTTTATCAATAAAGATACGTACGTAAATTTGATCTTCGTTGGAGTTTCGGAAATTTATTCATCTTGGGTTGTTTTACAGTCATGATGAATTTGTAAAGTATCTTCAGGTGAGGAAGCAAGGAAGGATTTAGGATATTTTCATATTTTCTAACTGTTGTCCAGGGAGATCAGGAAATCTGAACATATTACATTATTAAATATTTTAAAATGGATTGAATTTTTAACAGGATTTATAACGAAAAGATCCAAAATTTAATTTTTATTTTAATAAAGAGAGTTATTGATACTATTATTTTGACATACATACATTTTTTTCTAATATTAAACTGTGTAAAATAATATAATGTGTTTTTATAAAATGAGACTATATAGCATGAACTTTTGTTAGTTACTTTCAGTTGCCATTCCAGTAAAATTGCTATATTTAATATTGATAAATGAAGGAGAACATTAAAATATTATGTTGTTAGCTCACATATATA